CGTGTGCAAAATAGCAAGAACAAGGGCCAAGCGAGTGCAAAATTTCAAGAACAAGGGCCTAGCGTGTGCAAAATTGCAAGAACAAGGGTTTAGCTTGTGCAAAATAGCAAGAACAAGGGCCTAGCGTGTCCAAAATAGCAAATAGAAGGGCCAAGCGAGTGCAAAATTTCAAGAACAAGGGCCTAGCGAGTGCAAAATTGTAAGAACAAGGGCCTAGCGTGTGCAAATTAGCAAGAACAAGGGCCTCGCGTGTGCAACATAGCTAGAACAAGGGCCTAGTGTGTGCAAAATTGCAAGAACAAGGGCCTAGCGTGTGCAAATTAGCAAGAACAAGGGCCTAGCGTGTGCAAAATTGCAGGAACAAGGGCCTAGCGTGTGCAAAATAGCAAGAACAAGGGCCTAGCGAGTGCAAAATTGTAAGAAATAAGGGCCTAGCGTGGGCAAAATTGCAAGAATAAGAGCCATGCATGTGCAAATTAGCGAGAACAAGGGCCTTGCGTGTGAAAAATATCAAGAACAAGGGCCTAGCGTGTGCAAAATTGCAAGAACAAGGGCCTAGCGTGTGCAAAAATTCAAGAACAAGGGCCTAGCGTGTGCAAAAGTTCAAGAACACAGGCCTAGCGTATGCAAAATTTCAAGAACAAGGGCCTAGCGTGTGCAAAATTTCAGGAACAAGGGTCTAGCGTGTGCAAAATAGCAAGATCAAGGGCCAAGCGTGTGCAAAATTGCAAGAACAAGGTCTTAGCGTGTGCAAAATAGCAAGAACAAGGGCCTAGCGTGTGGAAAATAGCAAGAACAAGGGCCTAGCGTGTGCAAAATTGCAAGAACAAGGGCCTAGCGTGTGCAAAATTTCAAAAACAAGGGCCTAGCGAGTGCAAAATTGCAAGAACAAGGGCCTAGCGAGTGCAAAATTGCAAGAACAAGGGCCTAGCATGTGCAAAATTGCATGAACAGGTGCCTGGCTTGTGCAAAATAGCAAGAATAAGGGCCTAGTGTGTGTAAAATAGCAAGTTAGGTTGTTGTGCAGTAAGTCTTAGAATAAGATTTTAATGTTTTTTTAGTCCGCTGCATAACTTGATTCTCATACACTTTATTGTGTGCTTGTTACTCTTCTGTGTTTGCTGGTGTTGTTGAGGGGACTTCTTGCCTGATGGACGCATCAACAGTCCTGCCATGGTGGAGAGCGGGCTCTGCTAGTATCCAATCGACTGCTGATGCGTCTCGGAATGTGCCTCACCGTGGCAGCACGGTGAGTGAATAGGGCAAGTCCATCCAGGGGGAGCTTAGCTGTCTAGGTCGGCGTCCGGCATGTCTTTGAATCAAAATTCGGTCTTTTTGAGTCCGGTTTCTCTCCTGATTCTATGACACTCTTTTGTGTGCTTGTTCGTTCATGTGCTGTGTTGGCTCCTGTGGTTGGGGTGCCTTCTTGACTGAAAGGCCCAAGGACGTGTCAACAGTCTGGCCAAGGCGTGGCGGTCGACTTCCAGGGAGGGGCTATGCTTGTAACCATCCAAATTTTGACGCATCTCGGAATTTGTCTCACCATGACAGCACGGTGAGTGAATTGGGCGAGACTATTGAGGGGGTGCTTAGCTGTCTAGGTCGCCGTGCGGCAAGTCTTAGAATCGAATATTAGTTTCTCTGAGTCCGGTTTTTCTTCCTATTCTAATATATTTTCTTGTGTGCTTGTTCCTGTGCTGTGTTGGTTGTTGTGTTGGGGGCCCTCCTTGACTGAGAGGTCCAAGGACGAGTGTCAACGGTCCTGCCATGGCGTGGTGGTGCATTGCATCCCAGGGAGGGCTCTGCCAGTAACAAATCGACTGCTGATGCGTCTCGGAATTTGCGTCACGAAGGCAGCACGGTGAGTAAATTGGCCGAGTCGATCGAGGGGGAGCACAACTGTCTAGGTCGACGTGCGGCAAGTCTTAGAATCAGTATTTAATTTCTTTTAAGTCCGGTCCCTATCCTTATTCTGATACAATCTCTTGTGTGCTTGTTCATGTGTTGTGTTTACTGTTGTGGTTCTTAACTGGGAGGCGCAAGGACGCGCCAACAGTTCTGCCTAGGCGTGGCTATGCGTCGCATCTTGCCAAGGCGCCGCGTCCAGCCAAGGCATGGCAGTCCAACCAAGGCGTAGCGGATAGGCGCTCTGCCAACAAACATCCGCCTGATGAGGCGTCTCGGACTCTGCCTCACCATGGCAGCAAGCATGGTGAGTGAATTGGCGGAGACTATCGGGAGAGAGCATAGCTCTCTAGGTCGTCGTGCGGCAAGTCGCAACACTGAATACAGTTCTTTCCGAGTATTTTTCCACTGCTGCTTCTCACACACACTCTCCTCCTTTGTGCTCGTTCCCGTGCAGTGCTCTCCATCATGGAGAGGCATTGACTTGGTAACAGGCTTGCCCATGGGTGGTGCGTCCTAGGGAGGTGCTGCTGGTGCTGGTGGTGTTGCTATTAAGGTAAGTCGTTGGGCGAGTCTACTGGGGGGGCACGAGAGTCTAGGTCCCCGTGCGGCAAGTCTTAGAACTGATTGTTGTTTCTTTCGAATCCATTTCCACTGCTGCTTCTCACGCACTCCCATCTGCGCTCGTTTCTATGCTGTGTTCCCTGCTGTGGTGCCGGTGTGTGCCTCCTGCATTGAGACCCAAGGACACTGCAACAGCCATGCCAAGGGGTGGTGCTTCTCAAAAGGGTGCTGTGCTTGGGAGGACCCTCACAAGAAACTCGGAAAATGGCTCGCCGTGGCAGTATGGTACGTCATTGGGCGGGTCTACTTGGGGGGGGACAGAAGAGTCTAGGTCGCCGTGCGGCAAGTCTTAGAGTCGATTACTGTTCCTTTCGAGTCTGTTTCTGCTGTTGCTTCTAATTCTCCTTTCTCTCCTCTGTGCTTGATTCTGTGCTGTGTCTGCTGCCGTGATGCTGGTTCCTCCTGCACTGAGGCCCAAGGGCACAACAACAGTCGTGCCACGGAGTGGTGCTTCTCACTCATTTCATGGATCAGCATGGCAGTACGGTGAGTCGTTGGACGGGTCTATTGGGGGGACGGAAGTTTCTAGGCTGCCGCGCGGCAAGTCTTAGACTTGTTTTTTGTTTCTTTCGAGTATGTTTCCGCTGCTACTTCTGATGCTCGTTTCACTCCTCGTTTCTGTGCTGTGTCCGCTGCTGTGGTGCCGGTGCCTCCTGCTCTGAGGACCAAGGGCATAGCAACAGTCATGCCAAGGGACACTGCTTCTAAGAAAGGTGATCTGCGAGTTAGCATCCTCACCACATGGCTCGCCACGGGAGTACGATAAGTCACTGGGCTGGGCTATTGGGGGGAAAGAAGTGTCTAGGTTGCCGCGCGGCAAGTCTTAGAATGAATGTCTGCTTCTTTGGAGTCCATTTCTTCTGCTGCCTCTGACGCACTCTCCTCTGTGCTCGTCTCTGTGCTGTCTTCGCTGCTGTCGTGCCTCCTGCACTGAGGCCCAACGGCACAACAACATTCGTGCCAAGGTGTGGTGCTGCTGTGCGAGTGAGGATCTCACCACATGGCTCGGAGCATGGCTCACCATGGCAGTATGGTAAGTCGTTTGGCAGGTCTATTGGGTGGGGCAGAAGAGTCTAGGTCGTCGCCCGGCAAGTCTTAGAATTGTTTTTTGCTTCTTTCGAGTCTGTTTCCTCTGCTGCTTCTGATGCTCGTTTCTCTCCTCTGCGCTCGTTTCTGTGTTGTCTTTGCTGCTGTGGTGGTGATGCCTGCTGCACTGAGGACCAAGGGCATAGCAGCAGTCATGCCAAGAAATGGTGCTTCTCAGTGAGGTGCTGTGCGAGTGAGCATCCTCACCACATGCCTTGCCACAGCAGTACAGTAAGTCGCTGGGCAGGTCTATTGGGGGGGCAGAAGTGTCAGGTCGCCGTACAGCAAGTTTTAGAATCAATTTCTGTTTAATCCAAGTCAATTTCCACCGCTGCTCCTGATGCACTCTCCTCTCTGCTCTTTTCTGTGCTGTGGTTCTTTCTCCTGCGCCGAGGCCCAAGGACACAGCAGCATTCTTGCCAAGGGATGGTACTGTCTCGAGAGGAGGTGCTGCGCGAGTGAGCATCCTCACCCCTTGCCTCATCGAGCAGCATTACAGTAAGTCATTGGGCGGCTTTACTGGGGGGGCAGAAGAGTCTAGGTCGCCGCGCGGCAAGTATTAGAACTGATTTCCATTTCTTGATGGAAGGTGGCAAGCTCGGCTTGCAAAAGCATTCTGATCTGAAGAAGTACTGGTAAGAAAAGGGTTACAGATAATATAGTATTCATCATTCACACTGCCGCTGAACTGTACTGTTTTATCGAGGTTCTCTTTGTTGTGTGACCATCCGCGCGAATGCCACCTTGGAAACTTCGATTCTGCACTCCACCCTATTCTCGCCACAATGCCCATTGCCCACCTAGATTCCACTTCACTCCACGCCTTGCCCAGACTTGTGCATCAGCTTCACTTCGCCAGTCAAGAAGCGATCATCTATTTTCGGAACTGCTTCTGGTGATCGCCACGCCATCTCCTCGCGACAGCACCTGCGACCACCGTTTGGCATTAAAGCGTGTTTCGTTTTTCTGCACATGCTCGCAGATCGCGCGATAGAGACCTATTCATCGTTTCACCGACTAGCAGCGTAGCGCGGTTAGGATGGAGATCGACCCCGTCGTGGAAGGACATTCAGGTATCTCTCTTGGAATTCGCGACGACGCGCTTTCCCCGTTTGCGCGATCTAGCTGTTAGCGCGATCTCGCTGTAAGCAAGATCTCTCTGTTATCTCGATATCTCTCAACGCATTATTTCGTAGATTCGACCTCTCTCTTAGCGTGTCCGCGGAACTGAGCACTGCTGGCCTGATTACGGCATTTCCCCACACCGTCGCTAGTTTAATAAGTCGTTTCTACCGCCGAATTCTCCGCCAATTTCATTACACGGTGCCTCATTCGCCAACTAACCCCCTTACTCCCACGCCTACCATCCCCGCTCCTCCCCGCAGCGTCGTCGGACGACTGGCGGCGCGCGTTGGCGCGGGTGGTGCCGGCGGTGGTGGTGCTGCGCGTGACGGTGGTGCGCGCGTTCGACACCGAGTCCGCCAACTCCAGCTACGCCACCGGATTCATCGTCGACCGCCGCCGCGGCATCATCCTCACCAACCGCCATGTCGTCAAACCCGGTCCGCGCGCCTTCCTTTCCGCCTTGCATCCTGCTCCCTGCCAGCTGTCGCCTCACCACCCGCGTCGTTCTCTCGCTCCCGCATGCCCCCTCCCTTGAGATCCGCGCGTCCCGCCTCTCAAACGGCCCGTTCCGCCTTCCCGCACGCATCCCCCCGCTCTTCCGCGCATTCCCCCCCCCCCCCCGCGCGCGTCCGCCAGGCCCGGTGGTGGCGGAGGCGATGTTTCTGAACCGCGAGGAGGTGCCCGTGCATCCGATCTACCGCGACCCCGTGCACGACTTCGGGTTCTTTCACTTTGACCCCGCCGCCGTGCAGTTCCTCGACTACCAAGACATCCCGCTCGCGCCCGAGGCCGCCGCCGTGGGCCTCGAGATCCGCGTCGTGGGCAACGACAGCGGCGAGAAGGTCTCTATTCTCGCCGGGACCATCGCGCGGCTGGATCGCGACGCGCCCGTGTACAAAAAGGACGGGTATAATGATTTTAATACGTTTTATTTGCAAGCCGCGTCGGGGACCAAGGGCGGTTCGAGCGGATCTCCCGTGATCGACTCGCGCGGGTGCGCCGTGGCGCTGAACGCGGGCAGCAAGTCGTCGAGCGCGAGCGCGTTCTTCCTTCCGCTGGACCGCGTGGTGCGCGCGCTGGGCGCCATCCAGGCGTGCTTCGCGGAGAAGGAGGGCGGCGGGTTCGTCGTGCACAAGTGGCGCCCGCCCGTCGTCACCCGCGGCACCCTGCAGGTGGGTGGGCGCGCAGCAGGGGGGGAAGGATGGTTCAGGGGCCATGGACATGGAGAAGGGGGGGGAGGGATCGGGTCTTGCTGCTGCGTTGTGTTTGGGGCTTGTTCAGAGAGGTCTTAACAGCACTGGAACATTTCTTACACTTGAATGTAGCACTTCCTGCTCCTCCCCAACCGTGGCCCCTCGCTCCACCTCCGACTCCCTTTCCCCTCTCCCCTGCGCGCTCTGCCCTCCTGCCCTCCCCTCCCCTCCCTAAACCCTTTTCCCACCACGACACCAGGTGACGTTGATCCACAAGGGGTTTGACGAGACGCGGCGGCTGGGGCTAAGGCGAGAGACGGAAGCGGAGGTCAGGCGCGAGGCGGGGGCGGCGGAGACGGGGCTGCTGGTGGTGGACTCGCTCGTGCCGGGCGGCCCCGCTGAAGGCAGGCTGGAGCCGGGGGACATTCTCGTGCGCGTCAACGGCAAGGTGAGTGGGTGGTAGCAGCAAGGGGAGAGAGAGTCGCAGGTGGAGCTCGCGGCCAGGATGGGTTGCCTTTGGTAGACTGGAGAGAAGGCGGGAGCCCGACGACATCCTCGTGCGCATCGACGGCAAGGTGAATTCAGCTCCCTCTCGCTTCTCTTGCTTCCTTTGCTAAGGCGCCGTGCCCCCGGCTAGCTGTGCATTATCCCTCTCGCCCCCCCTCCCATCACCCCTCACCCTTTCCCCCCTCCCCACCTCCGGCCCTCCCCTCCATTCCCCCCACCCCTGCACGCCCTAATGCAGGTGCTGACGCAGTTCTTGGCACTGGAAGCCATTCTAGACGACACAGTGGGTGGCACTGTGACGCTCGACGTGGAGCGTGGCGGCACACCCCTCTCCCTGGCGCTCACAGTGCACGACCTGCACGCCGTCACGCCTGACCGCTTCCTCGAGCTCTCAGGGGGGGTCCTCCACGCGCTCTCCTACCAGCAGGCGCGCAACTTCCGCTTCCCCTGCGGCCTCGTCTACGTCGCTGAGCCCGGCTACATGCTCTCACGCGCCGGCGTGCCCCGCTTCGCCATCATTCAGAAGCTCGCGGATCAAGACGTGCCGGACTTGGAGACGTTTTTAAGAGTGTTTGCGCGGCTGGAGGCGGGGGCAAGGATGCCGATAGAGTATGTGACGCATGGGGAGAGGCACCGGCCCAAGTCGGTGCTGCTGCTGGTGGACCGGCATGCGTGGTACGCGCCCCCCCAGATGTACTGTAGGGATGACTCCACGGGGCTCTGGCGCATTGCGTCCGCGCTTCCCCCTCCGCCTGCTGCTGCCGCTGCCGCTGCTGGTGCTGCTAATGCTACCGATGGTGCTGCTGACGGTGCTGCGGCTGCGGATGGTGCTGCTGCCGATGGTGAAGGCAAGAAGGAGGAGGGAGGCTTGGAAAAGGGAGGTGCGAAGGTAGAAGAGCAGCAGAGGGGGGAGAAGCGGGCGAGAGGGGAGGAGGAGGGCGAAGGGGAAGGGAGCAAGAAGCGTAAGGCAGATGAGACAGTGGTGGGGGATGGGAGCGAGCCTGCTGCTGCTGCTGCTGCCGATGGATCAGAGGCATCAGCCAAGCCAGCTGGCACGAGCTCATTGGTGGAGAGTGCATTGGAGCCCGCATTTGTGATGATGGAGGTGGGTGGGTGCAGCACCCTCGCCTTGCCACATCTTGTTCCCCCTCTTATCCGTTCCTGCCTCTGCTGTGTAGCTGTGCAGCGCCCATCCCGTCCTTCCCAATCATCTCTTCCCTCCCCATCCCTTCCTCTCGCCATCCCCCCCAACCTAATTTCTTCCTCACTTATCCTTGTCCCTCCCCCCCTCTTGCAGGTGCACGTGCCATCATCAGTGATGGTGGACGGGGTGCACGCGCAGCACTTCTTCGGCACGGCGCTCGTGGTGCACCACACGGCGCAGCTGGGGCTCATCGTGGTGGACCGCAACACGGTGGCTGTCTCTGTCTCTGACATCATGCTCTCCTTCTCCGCCTACCCTGTGGAGGTCCCCGGAGAGGTCAGTGCCCACCTTCTCTCACTCCCTGGCGCCCACTCTATTCGTGTATAATAGTCTGTGTCTCAACCCTCCCCATTTCTGTGTGGGACAGCTTCCCAACTTTCGCCACTCCTCTCTCTCTTCGACTTACCACACACAAACCGGCACCGCTTAAACTCACTTCTATCCCCCCTCCCCTCCCCTCCCAGGTGGTGTTCCTGCACCCGGTGCACAACTTTGCTTTTGTGGCATACGACCCATCAGCCCTCGGAGCAGCAGCAGCGGCGGCAGTTAAACCCGCCACGCTCAAGCCCTCCCCTGCGCTGCGGCGGGGCGACCGAGTGCACCTGGTGGGGCTCAGCCGCAGCCAGGCAGTGACGTCCCGGCAGTCCGTGGTCACCAATCCCACCGCCACGCTCACTGTGGGCGCTGCAGACTGCCCTCGCTACCGTGCGATTAACATGGACGTTGTTGAGATTGACACTGGTGAGTGCCGTGCGGTGCAATGGGGTGGCAGTATACACCAGTGCTTGCAGTGGGGTGGAGATTGACACAGGTGAGTGCAGTGCAGCCATTGACCTCTTCACAGGCTCTTTCACATGCACTTGTGCTGCCACACGCAGGGCCATGGTGCACTGCTTGTGCACTCTCCACGATCAAGCACTCTCCACTCCACCCTGCAGGTGCCCTGCGCACCTCACCCCATCCACCCTGTTCACACCGTGCGCCCCATCCACCCCATCCACCCCTCCCACCCCATGCACTGCACTGTGTGTCTCACAGACTTCGGGCAGTCCTTCTCAGGCGTGCTGGCAGACGACTCGGGCGCCGTGAGAGCCCTCTGGGGCTCCTTCTCCACCTTCGTACGCCGCTGCCCTGCCCCACCTCCTCCCTTCTCTACTCTCTCCTCTCCTTTTTCCTTGACTTACTCTTCTCCCTGTTAATGCATCGCAATCTCTCTCCCGCTTGCTCTCCCTCTTTGCGCTGAGCTTCCTCACGTTCTTGTTTCTCCCTCCCATTATCAGTATCTATTCTCTCCTCCTCCTTCCAAACCTCTCTCCCATCCACTGTCCTCTGTTTAAACGTAAGCTGACTTCCGTTACAAACTCTCAAAAGACCAAGCCCTGCTCTGAACCACCTCCTCTCCTCCCAAATCATCCCCCCTTCCCCAGCTGAAATACGGCGACGGTGGAACGGACGATCTGCAGTTTGTGCGCGGGCTGCCCATCTCCTTCATCTCCTCCGCCCTCCACCAAATCATCCACGCCTCCCCCTCCAAGCCCCGCACGCTCCCACCCACCGCTCCCGCTCCCGCTCCTGCTCTCCCCACCGCGCCCCACGTTGAAAGCAACGGCCAGGCAGGGGAAGCAGGCGAGGGGACAAGAAGAGCAGAGGCGCATGAGGAGGGTGGCAAGGGCGGCGAGCAGCAGCAGCAGCAGGCGGCAGCAGGGACAGAAAACAGCCTGTTGATGAACGGGCGGCTGTGGGCCATGCCGCGCATGCGCGTGCTAGAGGCAGAGCTCGCCCCCATGCTGCTCTCCAAAGCCAGGAGCTTCGGCCTCTCAGAGCAGTGGGTGCACGTGCTGGCCCGTGCTGACCCCGTGCGGCGGCAGGTGCTGCGCGTGAAGGGCACCCTGGCGGGGTCTGCTGTGGCAGGCGTGCTGCAGCAGGGCGACATGCTACTTGCTGTCAATGGCCGCCCCGTCACGTGCTTCGCTGATGTGGAAGCTGCCTGCTGTGAGCTGGATGCGGGGGGGAGTGAGTCAGCAGGGATGTTGGAGGGGGATGGGGGAAGCGGGGTGAGAGATGGTGCTGGGGCAGTAGTAGCAGCAGCAGCAGGAGAAGAAGCAGCTGGGAATGGGCATGTGAGTGAGACAGGGGACAGGGAGCCGATCGGTGCGACAGCAGCAGGAGCAGACAAAACTGCAGTGAATGGTACAGCTGAGGCTGCAGTAGAGGCACCAGGGAAGACGGGCGGGAAGGAGGATGCAGGGGTGGCAGCAACAACAGCCGGGGAGGCAGCAGCAGGGGAAGCGGGCCGAGCGTCATTGAGTCTGACGATACTGCGGCAGGGCAGGGAGCAGCGGGTGCAGGCGGGCACGGACGTGCGGCATGGCTTCGGCACGACGCGAGTGGTGAACTGGGCGGGCTGCCTCGTGCAGGACCCCCACCCTGCCGTCAGAGCCACCGGCTTCCTGCCCTCGCAGGGTCACGGCGCTTATGTTGCCAGGTGGGTGGCTTGAGGGCGTGATGTGCGGTGCCTTTTCATACGTTCTCGTGAGTCGTGCAGGACCCCCAACCCCTTGGCAGCGCCACCGGCTTCCTGCCCTCGCAGGACCATGGTGCATATGTTGCCAGGCGTGCGGGTTGGGGGCGTGCTGTGAGGTGGTTGCTGGGCAACAAGTGGAGCACTGGAGGGAGAATTAGTAGAGGAGGTTTCTACTGTGTCGGGTGTTCCTCCATCCCTTCCTCACCTCCATTTCCCTCCTCTCCTTCCCACCCCCTGGCTCCCACCACCCACACTCACAGGTGGTGCCATGGCAGCCCAGCGCACCGCTACGGGCTGTACGCCCTCCATTGGATCGTGGAGATCAACGGCCGACCTGTGCCGGACCTCGATGCTCTGGTTGCCATCAGCCAGGTGAGACCCGATCGGCAGTTAGGGGCGATCATGATAGGTGCTGGTAATAGCACCCCCGCCTCCTCTTCCTCCCTTCCTCTCTCCCCTCTCTTCCACCACTAGGTCCACTAAGATTCCCATTTCCATCACCATCACTATACTTTCTCTGCTGCCTCCTCTCCTCCTTCAACCCCCCTCCCAATTTCCCTCCCCTTCCCTCTCTCTGCCTCTCAGGAGTTGGAGCACGGGGCGTTTGTGAGGGTGAAGGTGGTGCATCTGAACGGCAAGCCACGGGTCCTGACACTGAAGCAGGACCTGCACTACTGGCCCACCTGGGAGCTGCGCTTCGTGCCCAGCACCGGCACATGGCAACGCACCATCCACAAGATACAGAAATAGCTGCTAAAGCATCCTGATTCAGTTCGGCATTCAATGAATTGCGTAAGGTTGGCACATGGTATTCCCCATAGCTGTGTTTTGTGAGTCGATAGATTAGTTCCCGATTGGGAAGCATCCATCCATACGTGGTAACGAGCAATATGCAAGAATGTCAAAATAGTACTGTTACCATATTTCGGGAAAGGGAATGTTCCAGTCCAATTGCTACATGAATCATGTGTAAAATGCTGCCATTTTAAGCTCGCTTATAAGCAGGACGTTCATTGTGGTAATCTGATTTATCATCTCGGTGAATCCATTATCGAGGTAAAACGATTCTAGCTTCGCTTGGGTGCTTCACCAAAATCCGTAGGCCCCAGCCTCCACTCTCCAGCCACGGCATTGATTTGCCCATTCACAACGTGCTCGTTCCCTCGTCACGTCCTCAGTCGCTCGCCCTCGGTCGCCATTTTGCAGAAGCACCAGCGAGCCGCTTCGGCAGGCAGCGCGACGGTTAGTGACGCGCGACGCAGCGAGCGAGAGGCGGCGAGGCAGTTAGCGGGCGAGTGAGCCGCAGAAGCAGCGAGGCGCATAGGCAGCCAAAGAATCCGCGAGTCGGAGGCGCAGCGAGCGATGGATCATTCGGGGCGCGCGGCGCACAACGACCCCATCGTGCGCCAAGTCGGATTCTTCGCGCCCTCCGCCGCACCCCCCGTCGGCCAATCTGCCGCGCCCTCCGCAACCCCCGCCGACGGAGACGGGCTGCCGCCGCTGCCATTCCTCGCGTCCGCGTCGCCGTCGCCGCCTTTCGTGCCGTCAGTCCCTCCGATTCCGTCGCTGCCGATCAACGTGCCACTGCCGTCGTATCAGCGCCCCTCGCCCATCGCGGAGGGCAGCGAGTGCTCCGAAAGTCTCCCGCCCGACGATTCCTACCTATCGTCGTCCGCCACGTCAGCGGCCCCGTCCGGCGCGGTTTTCGGTTCCGTGTCTGACGTCAGCGGGCCAATCCTCTCTGTTTCCGCCGCCACTGTCGCCCGCGCGGGTGCGGCGGCGGCGCAGCAGGAAGCGGCGGATGGCGCAAAACCCAGCCGGGAAAAGCAGGCGGGCGCGCCAGGGCGGGGGGCGGCCGCCGCGGGGGGAGGGGCGGGCGGATCAGTGGGGGCGGCGGGAGGGGCAGTGGCCGCGGGGAGGTCGCCGGCGGACAGCAGCAGCAGCGCGGGGGGGAGTCCGCGCAGCGCGGGGAGCCTTGGCGTGCGGGGCGCCGCCAAAGCCGCCTCCGCTGTGGTGCCCGCGTCCCTGCCCAGTGCGTGCTGCCACCAGGCTGGCAAGGGCGGCGGACATTGAGGGGGGCGCGGATGGGGTAGCATGCTAGCATTGGCATGGCTGTGGGGAGGGTGAGGTGGCATGGTGGCGTCGTAACAGCATGGCATCATGGCATGGGGTTGGGGAAGGGGGTATGGGACGAGAGGAGATGGGGCTGCAAGCGCATTGAATCTCCGGTTCTTCTTCCCCCGGCCTACACCACAACCTCTTCTCCCCCTCCCCATTCTCCCCCTGGTCCCTCCCCCTCTTCCCCCATCTCCCCCTCCCCCCGGGCAGCGGTGATGGACGGGAGGGCGGGCGGCAAGAAGGTGACGTCAAAGGCGGAGAGGCGCGCCCTGCAGGAGGCTCAGCGCGCTGCCAAGGCCGCCGCTGCTGGTGGTGCTGCTGGCGGTGGCGGTAAAGGTGAGTGGCTTGTTGGGTGCAGCGTGCAGCGATAGTGCGCGCTGCCAAGGCCGCCGCTGCTGGTGGTGCTGCTGGCGGTGGCGGTAAAGGTGAGTGGCTTGTTGGGTGCAGCGTGCAGCGATAGTGCGCGCTGCCAAGGCCGCCGCTGCTGCTGCTGCTGCTGGCGGTGGCGGTAAAGGTGAGTGGCTTGTTGGGTGCAGCGTGCAGCGATAGTGCGCGCTGCCAAGGCCGCCGCTGCTGCTGCTGCTGCTGCTGCTGCTGATGCACGGCGGGACCACGTGCCCACATGCACCTCATGCCATGCCATTCCATGCTAATTCCCATCCTGCCATGCCCTCCAGCCCATGCCATGACCTGTCACCAGTCCCTCGCTTCCCTCTGCCTGTACGACCGTGCAGGTGGAAAGGGCGCAGGAGGGGCAGGCGGAGGAGGGGGCAAGGGTGGGAAGGGGAAGGAGGGCGGGCAGCAGGGCGGAGGGAGGAGGGCAAGCGGGGAATCCGCTGCAGTGTCTGCTGCAGGGACGGGGGTAGGGGACGTGGAGGGGGGTGGGCGGAGCAGCAGTGGGAGCGTGGCTGGCGCACAGAAAGGGGGAGGGGCCGGGGGGAAGGGAGGGGGAGGGCGGGGAGGAGAGGACGGGCAGCACAAGTCCAGCTCACTCCGCGGGGGGTGGCAGCAGCTGATGGCTGACGTGGCAGCGGTGGATTCGTCGCTGCGAGTGGATCTGTTCCGGCACCTGCCGCAGTTTGACCGGGCGGCGCAGATTGCTCTGGTGGAGGCGCGGCTGCTGGACGAGGAGGACTCCCCCCTCTCCGTGCACCCCGCCGTCTATGAGGTGCGCTCGAGGGGGTTGGATGTGGCTGGGAAGGGGGAACGGTGGGTGCGGTGGGGTGGGATGCTTCTTGCACCTCTCTGCTCCCACCCTGACCAAACATCCTCCTCCATGCGCTGCTCCTTTGCCCAACCGCCAGGTGGGGATGCGGTTCCTACAGCAGGAGCAGCGCCTGCAGGGCGGCAACGAGCGCTGCCTGGCCATGCTGCACGCGCTGCGCCGCCTCTTCCTCGACCACCGCGTGCCCGACAACCGGCCCCCCATCCGCGACCTCACAGCGCGCCTCAACGCACACGTCGCCTTCCTCATCGCGTGCCGCCCTCTCTCAGTGGGCATGGGCAACGCAGTGCGCGCGCTGAAGCAGTGCCTCACGCGCATGGGCGCGGATCCAGGCGTGCAGGAGGGCGCGGCGCGGGCGGCGGTGGTGGCGGAGATTGATCGGTTTGTGGCGGAGAAGCTGGTGTTCGCCGGGCAGGAGGTGGTGCGGCACGCTGCTGGGAAGATCCGCAAGGAGGGTGATGTCATTCTCACCTTTGGGTGGTCCGAACTCGTGCTGGAGGTGAGGAGCGGTGAAGGGTGGTGAGGAGTGGTGAGGAACTGTGTTGGTTTTTCATTGGCTGGCTTCCTTCTTCCCTCTCGTCTTGCTCTCTCCTTTATGTCCCAATGTCTTCCTCTCCTCTCCTCCTTTCTCTCCCCGCACCCCCAGATGCTGCTGTCAGCCGCACGTGCAGGGCACAAGTTGAGAACCATAGTGGTGGACTCACGTGACTTTTGAGTCGGCTCAGAACTCTACTTCTCTCCCCTACCTGTGCAGGTGCTGCTGTCGGCAGCGCGAGCGGGGCACAGGTTCAGAGCGATCGTGGTGGACTCACGGCCGCACCTGGAGGGCAAGGAGATGGTGCGCCGCCTGCTCGCAGGCGGCATCTCTTGTCTCTATCTAAGGCTCAACGCCGCATCGTACATCATGAAGGTGAGGCAGCGGCAAGATGACAGAGTTATGCCAGAGTACACTTAAATCGGAGTGGGTGTTGTTATAAGTGTTGAGTGGTACATCATTATAAGGCTTTCTTTGCTCAGCACGTGTGACGAAGTGGTGTTCATTTTCCACTCCGATTGCCCATCCCTCTTTCCCCTCACCCCCTCTTCTCGCCTATCCCAACCTCTGCCCACCATCCAATCAGGACGTGACACGTGTGTTCCTGGGGGCGGCAGCAGTACTGGCGAACGGAGCAGCGTATGCGAGGGTGGGGACGGCAGCGGTGGCGATGATGGCGCATGCACAGCGCGTGCCGGTGCTGGTGTGCTGCGAGTCAAGCAAGTTCCACGAGCGCGTGCAGCTCGACTCCATCACCCACAACGAGATCGGTGCGTTGACCCTGTTGACTCACGTTGACTTTTGTTGACTCACGTTGACTTGTGTTGACTCAAAATCCTCTGCTGCACATTGCATCATCTACTCCTCACCCCATCTCTCACTCACCGCCGTCCCTAATCACTAGTTGGCCTTCCTCTGCTCCCCCACAGGCGATCCACAAGTACTCATCAGCACGGGCGTGTCACCGCTCTCACCAGTCTCACCGCTGCCATCGGACGCACCAGAAGCATCGGAAGCAGCGGAGGCGGCACCGCTGCAGCACTGGCAGAGCACGGCCAACCTGCGCCCTCTCAATATCCAGTACGGCCCCTCCCTTGCACTTTCCATCGCCCGCATCCTCTCACCACTCTCTCCCTCTCTTTCTCCCGTCCTCAGCATCAATTCCATCGTTCCTTACTCACATGCTCGTAAAAACGAAAAGACACCAATGTCAGTTTTCTTTGCCTTGCCCCCTCCATTGCATCCTGCCTGCCTGCTTCTCCTGGTGCATTCTCAGTGTTTATATCTGTTATCCTTGTCTAAAATTTGTAAGTTGTGTCTGTGCATCATTTTGTGATCTTGCATGTGTGCCTGCCTGCAAGTGTGTGTGCATCGGGTGCATGGGTGCATGGGTGTGCGGGTGTGTGGGTGTGTGGGTGTGTGGGTGTGTGGGTGGGGGCATGAGCAGGTTTGACCTCACACCAGCGGACTACATCACGGGCATTGTCACCGAGATTGGCGTGGTGAGATGCACCTTCACCATGCCCCATGCCCCATGCCCCATGCCCCATGCCATGCCCCATGCCACATGCCACATGCACATGCCACATACCATCCAATGCACCCACCCTCGCATCCATCTCCTAATCACCAGCCTTGTCTCCCCCACGCATGCCACCGCCCCATGTGCCTGCCTGCCTTCCAGGTGCCCACATCCAGCGTGCCTGTCATCCTGAGAGAGTGTCGCAACCAGCCCTTCTAGGTAGATGCCACCACGCACGGTAGCCGTTGAGTTGGCCTTATTGACATGACAAGGTTCCATGAGTGAGTGGTATCTTATTGCAATGTACTGCTTTGCCCAGCGACTGCAAACGACTACTTGTACGGTACCGTATTTCATTGCCTAAAGCACAAATAGATGTGAGGGCTGAGCAGACTATGAGTGCTTGCAAGGCTAGCAATCTTTTAATAGTATGCCAATTCTAAATGGGAGGACTGTACAACAGAGTGTTGGTACCACCATGGCACTTTTCCCTGATACAGGGATATATTTAATCATCAACGAGCCTTTCAAAGCACTGCAGTTGCTACCAACTGATTGTTATGGGTGCAATGAATCGAAGCAGCGAGAATTGCACTAAGGTATCAAACGAGTACAAAATGTGAGCGAAGGCATGAGCGAACATACGCGAAACATGCAAACAGTAACGCGGTGCGCGCAAGCTAGCTAGTACTACGCTGGAAGCGAGGCTCGGGCTAGTCCCGAAGCATAGGCTGACACGGCCGGTCCAGCAGTGCGAGGTTTGGGAAAACATTGCGCGCGAATTCGGCGAAGCCCCGTTAGCAGTAACGGGCGAACAACGGCTACTGCTGTACGCGATGTTGCAGGGCGCTCTAAGGAATATCGAGAAAATTCCTTACACTACCCCCCCCCCCCCCCCCCCCCCCCCCCCCCCCTCAAGAAGCCCCCTCCGCTACGCGAGTGCGTGTACCGTATTCTCCCGGACATAACACCCTAGGGTATAGCTAAAAATACAGGGAAAAAATGGGGGGGGTCTCCTCATAGGAAAAAAATGCATAATACCCGGGTCTTATTATATTGCACATTTTTTTTTAAGCAGAAATGAATGGAAACAAGAACAGGGGTCTGGCCTTATTATTATTATTTTGATCAGGGCCGCCAAACCGCGTCTACGAGGATAACGTCGTCCTCCACTGGAATCTGCCACATGGCAAATTCCAGTGGGCCCACTGTGCCACCTGATTGGTTGACATCAGTGCCAACCTCGAGCAGCTTGGGTTCATGCAGTACGAGGCCGGAATCGCGCACGGTGCTGTGTTGTCACTGTACCTGGGACCCCTTGACTCCCGTGTATGGTAGTCACGTCCAAGCTTCCTCACCCAAGCTTGCTCTTCTCTTCGTCAAGCGGTTCCAGTGCACGTCTTTAATAAATGTTCGGCAGGCTGTGAGAGCATCTCCTTCCTGTGCACGAGGGTATCGTCTTTAAAAGTAATTTCTCCCATGGCGAGTGACATCGACCTGCCTTAGTTCCCAAGCATGGCTTCATCTCCAGATTCTAGCAGTACGGTAGATAGGCGTAGGCGGCCTGTTTTCAGCAATCAGACTAGCGCTTCGCTACGCGCACGGACGTCTCCTCGCCCGATCTTTCCTCAACCAGATGATCCCGGTAGTGCTTCTACCAGGGATGAACCGAGCAGTAGCTTGGACCGTCCTCGCCCTACCCTTCCTCGAGTGGTTGTCCCCACGTTCCCGGAGCGGAACCACCCGCAGGGACAGCAGAAGCGCAACGCCGATGCTGACCCGCCATCCCCTCGCCATCGCATGACGAAACGCCTGCGCAAGGGAATCACCGCAAAGGAGAAGCTCCACTGGTTGAAGCTGCAGGACTCGCAGCCCGACCTGTCGAATCGCGCCCTGGCGAAGCTCGCGAAGGTGCAGCCATGCCAGATCCGCGATTGGAAGAAGATGAGGGAGCGGCTGGAGGTCTCTTCCAGCTGCCGTCGTCGCCTCATGGGAGCTGGCCGCAAGTCCAAGTTCCCTTTCATGGAAAGGGCGGTCTATCGCCAGTTCCTCAAGCACAGGGGGAGGGGGCTCGCCGTTTCGGTCAGCATGCTCCAGAAGTGGAGCGCCAAGTACATGAAGCACCGGATGCCCGGGGTCAACTGGCGCGCATCGTTCCGCTGGGCGACTCGTTTCCGCGCGCGCTGGCATCTGGCGAGGCGGGTGAAGACGAAGATGGGACAGAAGTTGGCAGCGGGTAAGTGTTGCGCCGTCGTGCTCCTTGATTGCCATCTCAGTTCTGAGCTAATGTGTCTCGTGGCTTTGCTTGCAGATTGCAAGGCCAAGGTGGAGTCATTTTGGGAGTTTGTACGCCAGATGCGCTCTCTGCACGACTACCCGCTTGACCTCATCTTGAACGCGGACCAAACCCCGCTTTTCCTGGAGATGCCGGCGGAGCGCACGCTCGAAATGAAGGGAGCGCGGTCGGTTCACGTACGGAGTGCGGGCTATGAGAAGGAGCGTGTTACTGTCATGCTGGCAGTAACTGCGAGCGGGCTCAAGCTGCCGCCGTACGTGGTGTTCAAGCGCAAGTCCATACCGAAGGTGCCCATCCCTGCCGGTAAGCGTAGCACGTTTAGGATGATGTCACTACTGCAGCCTGTCAACAGTCGCAACCGAATTTGACCCTAACGTACCGGTGTTCTTTGGCAGGTGTGGTGGTCCGTGCACAAGACAAAGGGTGGATGGACGAATCACTTGTGCAGGACTGGATCACCCAGGTGATGGTGCCGTTTCTGAAGCCCTTGCGTGAATCAACTGGACGCCGCAAGGAGGCCTTGGTTGTGCTCGACTCCTACCGCGGCCACTTGACTGAGGCGGTCGGGCAGACCATGAGGATGTTTCGGCTGTCACGGGCTGTCATCCCAGGGGGCTGCACTCCGCTAGTGCAGCCTCTGGATGTGTCAATCAACCGCGCGTTCAAGTGCGGTGTGCGTCATCGCTACAGTGGCTGGTTCGAAGAAGAGGGCATCAACACCACCACCAAGTCCGGTGAGTTGAACCATGACATCCGCATGTGTAGCTTTGAATCAATGTCGGCTTACGCTATGGAAATTTACATTTGTCCTTCTCTACCCTTCCCCGTCCCTCAGGCAATCTCAAGAAGCCGCCAGCGGAGTTGGTGCTCCGCTGGATCGATGAGTCCTGGGAAGCAATCCCACAGGAGCTCGTGAAGAAGGCGTTCGTCACGTGTGGGATCTCCACCCCCATCGATGGCAGCGAGGACCACCTCATCCTTGCCCACATGCGGGACAAGGGTGAGGTGGAAGTCCTTGACGACGTCAACGACCTGGTTGACGACGAGCTCGTCGTCAACCCCTTCTACGTCGAAGTCCCCATGCCGGCCGAGGAGCTGCAGGCGGCGGCAGAGGAGGCTGACGCCGCTGAGGAGGATGCGGAAGCGGCGGCGGCAGAGGAGGAGGGGGGCGTGCTTGAGGAAGGCGGGGAGGCAGAAGAGCCCAGCGATGACGAATGGTGGCGCCCTGGCCGCTTTGACGGGGAAGACTGTGAAGAATGGCATGCAGGAGACGATTCTGAGTAGAAGGCACTTTGTATAGTGTTTTTTTAGGTGAAATTGTGGATGTGAGGTGCTCTTGTGGTGATGTTTCTGCAGTCTAGGTGACATTGTCGATGACTGGTATGTGCTGGCACATTACTTCTGTAGTACCTGTAAAGTACCCTGTATGCAATGTAAGCAAATTCAGTATTTTTGCCGCCCATAACACCCCCCCCGGGTCTTATAGAGAATCAGGCAAAAAGGGGGGTATAGTAGAAACGAGGCTCCCCATAACACCCACCCCGCACAAGCTACCCGGGGGTGTACAATTATGGGGGGGTGTTTTGTCCGGGAGAATACGGTATATCGCGGAAACCCCGGCTCCTCAGGTACACTTGCAGGGCAGGGTGGTTTTCGATGTTGGCTAGGGGCACCCAGTTATCCTCAGTTGGCGTGCGATCCTTCCAGCGAACGATGAATTCAATCCGCCTGATTCCCGTGGGGTGTCGAATCCGATGGCTCAGGATTTTTTCGGGCTCGATGATCGGCTCCGATGCAGGGCGAGTCATGGATGGCGTGCGGTGACGAGGCAGTTGGCTTGTGGTTGGAATGTATGGGCGAAGCAGGTTTACGTGGAACGAAGGGCTGATATACCACTCCGTCGGCAACAGGAGGTGGGCTGTCATTGGGGTAATCATGTGGCTGATTTGGAATAGTCCACAGTAGCGGGGTCGCAATTTCGGTCCGACGGGCAGTCTTAAGTTCTGTGTGTCGAGCAGTACGTAATCTCCTGACTGGTACGTGACTTGGCGGCGGTGGCAGTCAGCGTTGCACTTAGCGATGACGTTGGCTTTTTTAATTGCTTTTGCGACTCTGGTGCGGGCAGCTTGCTGAATTTCGGCGAATTGCTGTGCACGTGGTGTTGGGTTGTCCGGACTCGGTGTCATGGGCACTGTAGGGTTTTGCCCGTACTTCACGTAGAAAGGGGACTGCTGCGTCGTCGCTGACGTGGCGTTGTTATACGCGAACTCGATCAGCGGTACCTGCTGCACCCAAGTGGTCGGGTCGTCGCACGTGGCACGAATCAACTACTCCATCGTCTGATTCGTCCGCTCCATTTGACCGTTGGTCTCGGGGTGGTACGACGAGCTGAACTGTAGCCTTGTGCCAAACTGCTCCCAGAGGTTCTTCCAGAAGTTGCTGGTGAACTTCTTGTCGCGGTCGCTGATTATCGCGGCCGGTATCCCGTGCAGTCGAACTACGGCTGCGATGAACAGGCGAGCGGTTTCTTCGGCTGAGATTGATTTCTCGCACGCAGCGAAGTGTGCCATCTTCGTCAACCTGTCAACGACGACCATAACTGTGTCGTTACCCCCAGGGTTTAAAGGTAACCCCGTGACGAAATCCATGGTAACCTGCTGCCGAGGCGCGCTCAGGCGTTGGAATCGGCTGCAACTGACCCGCCTTTCTTTTTCGCGAGCTCTTCATCACCTGACACGTAGGACACGAGCCCACGTGGTGCTATACGTCGGTCAACAGCTCCGGCCAGTAGTAATACCCCTGCAGTTGCTGTCGCGTTTTTTCTACCCTGAAATATCCCGAGGTAATCCCGTCGTGTGCCTCCTGTAGTAGCAGCTCCCTCAGTAGTGAGTATGCGGTTGGTGCCTGCTTTTGCGCAATAGAC